TTTTTGTACAAATTCTTTTGTACAATTAGCAATGTTCTAATTTATACTACTATTGCTGCAGTAGTAGTTGTATTTTTTGGTAAAAAGTACCATAGAATATCAGGGATTTAAATATGGGGTGTGCAGGCTGAAATTTCTAGGGAGAACTCAGTGGATTATTCTCTCCCATTTAGTCAAATTTCTGAAATGACTTTCAAATGGAGTAAAGCTGAAATGGATGTGATAGGATGACTAGTAACCTGTCCCCTTTTATGTCAAAGCCATGACTTCATGTGGAGCCCCCTGCCATGAGGCTTCCAGTCCATGAATTATCTTATTTTTCTTTTACCATCTCAATCTTTATCTTGGTGATTCATTATGCATTTATGCTTTGTCGAGTATGTCGGGAATTCGATTTATTTGAATAAGTTTTGTAAATCACGGCTATCTATCTTTAAACATTCATCAGTTGATAATTGAATTATTACTTGATTACTACCTATATATGCACGAGTACTCGTCTTGGAGAATTAAGTGGCTAGTTTCGTGCATGCTGTGTATTTTATATGGAAAGACAGAAAGACATTGTCTGTGTTTGTTAATGAATGATTTCATTTGCAGGCATTGTCTGAGCTCAAAGAGGAAGATAGCTTGCTTTTGAAGGAGAAACTTCATTTGTCGAAGGTAGGTCTAATTAACTGAAACAATTGTTTCAACTGGTGATTATGTCTCCTTATTAGTACTTCATGTTTGTTCCCATTTGACTGAGACACTGTAATTGGTCAAACAGGAATTAGCATCAACAACACACATGACTTTCCGTGAACAGAGCGCTTGGAGCCATAATGCGAAGAGAATGAAGGTAATCTTTTAGCTTATGGCTTCATATGAACTCGATTTTACCTTCCCATTATCACATTATGCTCTCATTATTCCTGGAGGAAGATGGTGGGTGACAATAGGAATTTGCCATTTTGCAGTTAGATCTAAATCTACAGTCAGCTAGTGTTTTGGGTACCTTTGAAGAGGCCAAACAATACAACGACCAGATGGAGGCATCAACTAGTGAGCATAGACCGAGCCCAAGATTTGAACCGGCTTCATCTCATTCCTGCAAATTGAAAGACAAAGAGAGCACATGCAAAGGAGGGTTCATTCTACCGGATTTAAATATGATGCCATTGGAGGAAGAGAGTGGCTCGGAAAGTTTTTATCTATCAAGTGACTGACCGCTGAAGTGCAACAAGTGGATGATGTTGGGTAATGGTCCGGCTGCTGCATATATATGGTTCGCGGGGAGGGCTGGAAAATTACGACTCAGTCATGTTTTTAACAGCCTGATGATGAGTTGTAAAGGGTTGGTTATGGCCTTTAGGGGGTAATTGTAGAATCTAAGGTTTAGATCATATGTAGAAATTTTTGACATTTTTTAGCAGGTTTCTTTAAGGTTCTTTTTGTGTAAAAACTTCATTATTATTAAGAATAGAATAGGAATGCAACTTTATTCTCAAATATTTGTGCGTTTCCCTTCTGTGATCGATCATCATTTGGAATAAGCATGAACAAATTGGGGCCACCACAATCTAACACAAATTATAGGCCAAGACGAGCCCAGCTTGGGCCCACTAATTGGGTCATTTCTTTATCCAAGAAATCTTTTTCAACTTTTCTTTTTGATTATTGTGGAAATTACGTGAATGGAGACTCTGGAGTGTTTTCAAGATCCCAATTCAAATTTAAGAGTTATAATATTTTCTTTCAAAAATCAGATCTAAATAAAATTGTAAATGTTAATAATAATAATAACGTTATAAAAATTATTTTACGTATCTATCCCACTACCATCTACCCTACCAAACCCTAAATATTTCTCAATCTCTGTGTGTGTACAACCACAACCGCCTTCTCTCTCTCTCCACACAACGGCTGAGAGACGACGTTGAGTGCTACTGGAGAAACAGTGATGATGCCATGCATAGAGCAACGCGACAAGCTTCACTCAACCGTTGTGCAGTGATGCAAGCTAGGTGTGGCTATAGGTGGTGTTGCTTCCCGTGTGAAACTAGTGAGAGTTGATGTATTGTCGCAGGTGAGACCACCGCTAGTTCAACTGGCTGACTCTTGCCTCTTACTCCTTTGTCGCTTTCGCCCTATCGGAATCCGTGGTCGATCTGCTGTTTGTCGTGGTCGGGATCTGCAATTCCACGATTTGATGTGGGTTTTTGGGTGTGATTTCAGTTGGTGGATGGGGTGGTGGTGGTGTTTGGGTGGCGGAGGCTATGTTGGATATGATGGTTGCTAATCTTCTTCTTGTTGTTGTTAGTGGTGGTGGTGGTGATGTTGCTGTGGTTTTTGACATGATGGTTTTGTTGTTGGTATGTGGTGGTTTTGGTGATGGTGGATTCGTCAGCGATGCTGCTGGTGGTGTGATGAGGTGGTGGTTACAAATGATTTGATTGAATGTGACCAATATAAACAGTATGTGACCAATGAAATAAATAATCAATAAATAATGTGTAACCTAAAGATTTATTAATTTGTGACCAATAATTTGATAATTTGTGATCAATTAATTTAATATTTCTGTGACCATGAAATAATATGTGATTTATAAAATTTGTGATTTGTGACCAATGAAAAATATGTGACGTATTAATTTGATAAATTTGTGACCTATAAAATATTCAATTGTCACAGAAAATTTGTATGTAGTCAAATAGTCAATTAATTCGTTAATTTGTGATCAAATTATATAAAATTGTAACCTTATATTTAATTTATAAAATATATTTTTAATTAATTATTTTAGAAATAAAATTTAATAAATATCTAATTTTTTATGTTTTAAATTTTTTATCTTAATTTTAAAATGAGTTATAGTTAAATTCCTAGAATTGGAGACTTGATTGATCAAAATTTTACTGTCAAATTTCACATCAGCAAGCGAAAAAAGTGGCGATAATATTGGGTTTATTTGTTTACTGTGAATTTCAGTACATAAAGCGATGTTGTCCATTAGTTTGAATAGTCAAATGTAATAATAACGTTGTTCATCGCCTTTGATGTTAAATATCGATCTATATTTAATTACATGATATTAAATGATATATTCATTAAAATAAAAAGTCAAATAACTCATTTAATTCATCATATAAAGCACAATCACAGTCTGATTCTCTAATACCACTAGTACTAAATGACATTATTCAGACATTGTTTGTTTCTGATTAAAATTAATTTTTAATCTAAGTTAAAGTCAAACAATTAATATGATCATACAACTTTTCAACCCACATTTCAAAAACTTCTATCACAATTTACTAAAAATTTAATTTTAATTCTTACCAAACACCCACTCAATGCAGTAAGGCGACAATTTCGAAAAGGATGAATTCGAAAGAGAGTGAAAATATATTCAATTGATATGACCAACTAAACTAGCGCAGTGCAAGTCATTAACAAAATTAGTCACCAAACTTTATTTTATTTTTAATTAGTCATTTAATGATTAGATTCATTTATACTTTTTCCACCGGATGAATCTCAAAAGTAAATGTTGGTTAAAGTTAGGATTTATTTGAGCCCTAATTTTTTTTTTAAAATAAATTTTGTACTTTTTGGAAAACGTTCAGTTAAAAAGTAGGCAAAATTTTTATATGTAAAATTATTTTAATGAAGATAATGTGTGATTGAAAATGAGTTTGAGAAAGTTTTTCTTAAAGGTACGAAGAAAGTCGGAACTCTTGTGTTTTTGGGGCATTGGATTCTCTTTTCTTAATGGGAGTTCTGGGTATAAGTACCATTTGGCCAAATAAGAATCCCTTTCGATATTTGACCCTGAATGAATTTTTAAATAATATTAATTGAATTCGAACATAAACTCTTCATCGATGGATTAAACATTTTCTTTCAAATGGAATACCGTGGTATATAAAAAGTGAAAAAATACTTTTGTTATAGAATAAGAACCTTCATTTTTCTAGTGTAGGACCGTCTGTAGGTAGGGGAAGAATTATTTTATTAACGTAAGTGGTTTAAATATTTTGTTAGAGAATAATACTATTTAGCACCATCGGTGTTACAACACCAATAACACTGTGTCATTAAATTAAATCTATCATATAATGTCACGTAAGTTGATGTTAGATAACATTATTCTTTATTGGATCCCAACCTCTCTTAAGAGTTGGTTATTCTTAAACTAGCAACTAGAAAAAATATAATGAAAATCTATAGATAAAATTTTTAAAGGAAAATCGAGGTTGGTTTACAAGAACAAAAATCTTAAAAGAAAATTAAGGAATTCAAAAGTGTGTTGTAGATTTTCTAGAAATGAGAATATTAAAGAGAATCAAGAAATTCGAAAGTGTACTTTTCAAGAATGAGAATCTTGAATGAACCCAAAATTTGTAGATTTTTTAGAACGAGAATCTTAAATAAAATTAAGGAAGGTGGAAGTGTAAGCTTTCTTAAGAACAAGAATTTCAAAGAAACTCCTTTATTTTTATGCAAGAAAACTATATAGAAAGTTCTTTTATTAATCAAGAATTTCGATTTTAGAGAACACGGAAATTAATATTGATTCATGTTTCTCAACATAGTAGCGCTATTCATTACCACCGGTATTAAGCAGTAGTTTAGGAACAACACATAATAAATTCAATTAAACGAATCTTGTTGCAACACATTTAATTAGACTTATAATTTAATGTCACTTAAATGTTACATAAACTGGTATTAAATAACATTATTCTTCTCAATATGTCCATGTTTTGTAGTCATTAAAAAGATTTTTTTTCTTTTAAAGGGAAAATGACTTGGAGAATCGTTTTTTGAATTCATACAAAAAAAAAATACAGATACTCAGATGGGGGTGGGCCCATGTGAGTTAAATATTGCCAAAAAAGGGGGCCCACATTTGTTGTATTATGTATGCTTTCTGTGTTTTTTTTTCCCAGTACACATAGTCTCTCTTCTTCTTCTTTTTTTTTTTTTAAAGATAAAAGTAGGAAATAATTTTGAATTTATATATAGAATATTCTTATTGGGAATGTATTTTTGGAAATAAGTAGGAAAAAAAAAATTGTACAAATTATTGCCAAACAAGGGCTAACATTCCCTCCGCAATCATTGACTTCCATTCAAAACATATCTTTAGAATGATTAACCAAGTTTAGTTGAACGACCAAACTCCCAACAAAAGACAAGACGACTTTGTGACAGCCAGGGCAGGTAATATTTCCTACGGATGAGATTTAAAATTGAAACTTAGTCAAAATAAATGAAATACTGCTTTGCATTACACATTGAACTGCATAATTCTC